TCTCCCGCTCTCTGTAGGTTCCCTGTTTTGCCAGATTGTTAGCACGTTCAATTAGAGGAACCTTTCCTAACATTTCAGTATACTTTCTATCAAAATTCTACAAAACCTCGTCTGTTAATAAAGTTGCTCACAAGTAGATTATTATCTTCTTCCACTCCTCTGCTCTCAAAGAAATTGATACCATGCACATTCATGGACTAATAATATACCATAATATTGTGTTCAATTCTTCCGTTATGTTTTTCTTCAAATTTTCCAGGCTTGATTTGGTACTTACCAGTTTTAACCTTATTTTCCATTCTATGATGCAATTTGTTCTTTTTTCAACTCACAGTATACGTAAAATCGTTACCATCTCAATTAATACTTTTGTCTATAAGATGTGCTCTCTGGGACTGGCTATCCCACAACATAAAGAGAAAGGTTTTATGAAAAGACATCATCCATATTGCTATTAGAATGAAGAAATCACAGTAATTCTTCAATAAACAAGGAGAATCATAAATGTTCATAATTTGGAGGTCTCGACTTACCAGGTTACTTGAAAATCATAATGATATCTTAACAACACAGAAAATCCATTAAACTTCATTGTGTATTATATGAAGTCTACAGTATATATGCTAAAAACACAGGCCCTTACACTTTTAATGAGTTTTGATCAACAGCCATTTCAGAAAACAGTCACTCACCAAAGAAAAGTTTAAAATGAAAGTACGAAAGAATTTGCTTACTTATTCATAGCTATCAGCAAATCCAGATTCTATATGACCTAAGAATAACTCTCAAGTTTTGCAGAGATTTATAGGTCTATGAGCAGAATACCCATAAACTGCTATGTGCTTGTGTTACTGGCAGAACAAACTGCTGTTCAGACAAGATGATATCCAACTAAGTACAGAAAAGAAACTGTCAACAACTCTGCAAGACTATAATAGAAATTGCAAAAGCAGAGCTTTCATGACTAGCCATACCTTCAGAATACTCACAAATCAGTCCCAGGCATGAAAACACAGTTGGAACTGATTTTAAGAGAAGGTTGAAGAATGGCATGTTCCCACAAAAATAAGAACAAAGCCTAAACTGTGTTCCCTGTATTACATAATTGCCAAAGTAGATAGGGAAAAAAAGTTAATATTATAAATATACAGAATTTTTAGCCAAATTGTATTTGAGAAGTCTAGAATTAGAGAGCAAACTTGTGATTGATTGAAGTTAATCACAGTTGATTGGAGAAGCACATACCCAACCTTTTCATGTTTTGTACGCTTCTTTGTTGTGATGGTTTGGCTATTCTATCAGAAACATGCAAAAGGGAGGAAGTTTAGAATCAATAGGTAATTTTTCCTCAAAAATCTAAGTCAAATGGCATAAATAGAAATTCCTGAAAACATACATCAATATTATTGAGTAGTGAAAACCAAGCTGGCACCAAGCTCTGACTCTCAGATGTGCATGAACAAAGTGTAAGCTGCAGATATAGGAATGTATGTTTCCTACTGGTTTTCGGAGCAGAAGCTCTGCCTTGGTAGACACTCTGCCCTTTAACTTTCAGATTTATGCCAGCTCTGTATTACAGAGTTCCAGAGTCGCAGGGGTTAATACGACCCTATTGTTGTAAAGCATCAAACATTTAAATAATGGTTTTGATTTTAAACCTCTGAAGATGCAGAAAAAGGAGAATGTATATAAAATATTAAATCTTTGGAGCTTCATTTTAATAACATTCTCAGATCTTTTCCCTTCACCTCTCTCCCCACCACTCCACCACTCCCTACTCTTTGCCTCATCTAATATCTTATTATACTGTCAGGATATTTAGAAGGGGACAAGGAAAGAAAAATGTGCTTTGAGAAAATGCTCCAGAATTCCTTCAAAAACAAAACAAAAAAGGGCGACATTTTCAAATCTTTAAATAACAATACATTTTAAGGATTGACAGTACTTTGGTCCCAGGGGGCATCAACTCATGCAGCTTCGTATAAAGCACCGCACTGCAAGAGATGAAACGTCCGCTTCAGAAATAAATTTCTGTTGCACATATCTTTTGATAGGTAAAATTAAATGGACTTTATGAATATTAGGCCAACCTACCAAAAAAAAAAAAAAAAAAGAAAGCCAACAACATGTACTAAATCTCTTCCTGTTTAGGGCAAACAAGGTCAGTAGTTAGTCAACTGACAAATTATACCATATCATAAAACCCCAGCTTCATGTAGGACTTCTCAATAGGTATCAGATTATATGGACTTATACGACAAATCTCCCTTCCCACATGCATTATTCTCCTCCTGGCTATCCTCACCAGTTTATTTATACCTCTGGACTGAAACTAAGTGTAAGATCACACTGCTGCAAATTTCCTAGTACGTGACAAAAAAGGACTTGATTTCTACATTAAATTACCAAATCAATGAACTCCTCAATACTGTGAAATAATTTTATCTGTTTTCAGATATTCTCATCCCATTCTCTTACAAAAACTGCTTTCCCCAAAAAAAATTACACTGAGGACATAAAAGCATAAGGAGGACATATGGCACTGTTGTAAATTTATGGCACTTACAGTTTAATAATAATAATAATAAAGAGAAAAAGAAATGTCAGCATGACTTGTATAACTTTAAAAAGTTATGTATATGGTAACTATTAAAGCAGCATTTATTCTGTTTTGGACACATTATTTGCTATGAAAGTTCTGTTTTCTTTAGCAGAATTTTTTCACACTCCTCTTGGGTTACAATTTCCAATAATGCCAATGCATCAGTTTCATCAAAAAAAGTAATCATTTGGAAGTTGTCATAATACTAATAGTTCCTGCTATTCACAAGCAGTGAAGAGAATTCAGGTCCAGGTATTTCCTTGTTAAAAATAATGAAGAAAAATATTTTCAGTTATGGTATATTGTGGCCATTCTAGATGAATATATAACATGAAATATCAAGGAAGATTAGACTAATATTTGAAGACTTTTCATCTCTAGCAACTTTCTCTTCTCTTTATTTTGCTCTCCTCAACTGTCTTTCCCAGATCTTACAGGTCTTTGGGATATTTTATGTAGGTTCCCTTTGTATTAGGAATTTCTTTCACAAACTCTTTTTAGTTCTTTTTTCTTCTTTTTTTTTGAGTTTCAGAAAAAGCATGTATAAATATGTATACTCACATAAATAATGGAGCAGGAAACCTGTTTCTTATTCTTTGAGTGAACACAGTAAGCTAACTAAGGTGAAAATGTCTGTGAAAGCCTTTATAACAAGAATCAGCCTACCTTCTTTAATAACACTGTTGTTTACAAATTAGCAATGCTACGTTAGGTCTCATATCAATGAAGAAAAATATGTGAGTTTTAAGATGTGGAAATAAAACTTCTGAATAATATTTTTTGTTCAGTCTTTCTTCAAGTCTTGCTTTGTTTGCTTTGGCTAGCCTGAACGCCAAGCTCTTTGGAACATAAAGAACATTTTTGTGATCTATTTTTACAACAAGACGCTTATATCAAATAAACCATATTGATAAAACCCTAAACTGAATATCAGAGTGTAAAAGACAAGACTAGACATGAAACAAATACGGTAATATAATAACTTTGAATAAATTCCAGTAGACATGATATAAATGAATGTGACATAAAAGTAATTTTGTGACAGAGAAAAGTGGGGCAATGCTGTTTTCAGAAGACTACTTAATGTTTGTGAAGTGCTTTGAAGATGAATACCCCTTCGTACGTATTATGGCTATGGATTACCACTGGAGTCATGTAGCCTCACTCTGAAACTGAGAATCTGAGGAATTTGAGACAACCTCCAATTCCAAGTCAGAAGAAAGGCATAGATATAAAAAGTGTTAAGAATCCTATATGATACAGAATTGCTATAACCCATACACTAGTATGTTTTCTTCGTTTCTATGATGACAGTTAAAACAGATTTTCATAGGTGTATCTGTGGATAAGATTTGTAAAAATATCAACCTTCAGTGTAAATGTTCTTTCTTTTGAATGGAGGGAGGATAAAACAGTGTTGCTACTCTCAGAAACTGATGGCATTTATAACTTCAAAATATATTCTGCCCAGTGATATGAAAACACGTATAGAACTGAGAACTTCCAGGACTAAAAGCATAAAGTTTTTAACACCACTTGACAGGAAAAAAATAAGTATATAAAGCAACATACCAATATACTGTCCAGATCACATGGAATAACTTAGTAGAGAATCTAATCTGCTGATTCCTGAGATTTCAAACTGTAGAACTTTCACACTGAAAAAAGCAGCAACAAAATTTTGCCACATAACCCAAATTTCAGCAATTCAGTCAGAAGTTTAACAACTAAAATTTCTGTTAGCATAGAATAGAAAGATTGCAAATAATCTTATTCTCTACAGTTATACTTTAACAACCCAACCACGCTGTTGAAAAAAAAAAAGTAAAATACTGATTCAGTAGAATAATTCCTAAGTATTCAGCCATAAAATCTAAAATGAGAAAACTACATTATCCTGAAGCAATATGACTCCTCCTTGCTGGTTCCACACTTCCACACCAACCGAGAGTGAAGTGGTGAGAGTGGATCCCACAAATTAGTGATTCAACAGCTGTATTCTTCATGGAAAAAAAAAAGAGAGTAATGCCCTTTCTCCACCCCGTCCCAACATACAAAGCACAGAAATACATGTTGCAAATCCATAAAGACTAGAATCCCTTTTAACAAGATACATACAAATACTTCGTGAAGCAACAGCTAAGTTTTTCCTTTTGATCCACATCAAGCACATGACTCCTGTTTCCAAAGCAGTAAAAGACTAAATAAAGACAGTGAAACAGAGTCCAGAACAAGGTGGGGTTTTTTGTTTGTTTCAGGTTTTAATATAAAATAAAGAGGAGGTAATAGTTGCTTTATCAGCTTATATTTTGCTTTTATTTCTAGTGTGATTGTTTATCATTGGGAGCGTTCAGACAATACTGAATAGCTCTAGTGTTCATATGATTTCAAAGAAATTCTGCAGACTTTCCCACCTCATAAGCTGGAAATAATTGGTCCGAACCTGTCAAGAATAAGCATTTTTTCAGTGACTTCACACTAGTTTTTAGGCACTGCGTGTGACTGCATCGGAAGTATTTTTAGTAGCAACAGTTTCAGTACATATATACCATAAAGAGCCTAAATTGTCAAACTCAGCCAAGGTCCATGGTCACTTAGGTGAAAATAATGTTAAACTAACAAATCATAACTTCTAGACCTGCTGGTAAGTAACATTACTGAGCATGTAAATGAAATGTTACATATCCACAGCTTCATCTCTTAATGGCTTATGAGATAGAGCAGAAGTAATTCCTCTTTCATCTTTGCAGAACAGTTAACAAGAGTTTGGCTTCAATCTTGCTTTCCAAAAGAACATAGCACTAGGGAACCAGCATCCCTATATAATAAATATACATATGAAAAGATTAAGTAATCTGCCTCAAACGGCCCAAACTGTTTATTACATTGTTTCGTTACAGTGTTACAGCATCTGACTACATATTCTTTTATTCACCTCTATATTCTTTAATTGTTAAAGCAATCCAAAAGGTTATGTTCCATAAGTTATAGCTCTCTTTCTCTCTGTGGGCCCATAAAACTGAATGGAAGCAGGAAGTGTCTACTACAATATTCTCTTTTGCCCACAACTCCCATGCAGCTACAAATCTAAGAGTGCTAATATTTGAGCTCTTTATCATTATTTTCTGCAGCTGGTCAAATCTCCAGGTGTAAATTCATCAAAACTAGTTTCTCCTGGAAAATCGTTGACACATTCAATCAAATTTTCACCTATATGTTCCAGCTGATGAAAACTATTATGTTCCTAACATAGATTTTAACCTTTTTTTTTTACCTTCAATATTTAGCCTTAAATTTAGATATTGAAAACAAACAAACAAAAAAACCAAAACCAGCAAAATGAGAAGAGAGACTGTAAGCGGAAAGGGATAAGTTTAGGTGATATATGGTACCATACTTGTCCATGTGAAATATAAAAAAAAATAAAAATTGTTTGTAAGTTTTATATCAACTCAGGCCAGCTAATCAGCTCTCAGGTCAATGCCTATTTGTGATTAAGTTTAAAAAAAAAATAACACAGTACCTTTCTAATGAGGTTTGAGCAAATGTTGCCTGAAATGCATGTGTTTAAGGTTATAGTACAAAGTTTGCTACTGGTGCCTTAAATCATATGTATAAGTGAGCAAATCCTCCCACCTACCACTTCAAATACACCACCTCCCCTGTTCATCTTTTCTCACTTCTGTTTCCAATTCAACTTCTTTTCACTACAGTGAATACATACTTCTGTTGATCTTATGGTCGGCTGGATTCATTGACTGGTGTTTACCTCAGTAAAAGTTTCTTAAAACCTACATAAGACTCTGTAAATCAATATTTAAGAGGAAAAACCTTTGCAGACATGCCAAGTGTGAGCTTCTACAGATCTTTAACCAATAGGAAAAAATAATTCCTGCCTGCCCAAGATTTTATAATTTTGGCGAGTACAAGATCTAACTACACTGCCATTTATATAAACTATAGAAGTAGCAGTAAATTTATCACCTAGGTCAAAACTTACAGTGATAAGTAATTTAATAATTTTACTTTAAACGAGTCTATTAAAATTTAGCAGGAAGTCTAATTATTGTATCTTGTATATAAGCAAAAGTTTCTCAAATGAATACTCAGCATACACCTAATCAGCATCAAGTCACTCAACAGTTATAGCTAAAACTGGAGCATATACAGTACATCTGTACATTTACAAGCACAGGCTCCCCAGATGTTATAAATTACTATCTTTACCAGTGGACTCCTAAAAGTGTTGACTTAAAGAAAATGCAGTGAACAGTGGAGATGTTCACAGCAGGAATTGTCAACAAAACTAAATTCAACAGTAAAAGGTCTGTTGATATGTGTATGATCTAAAGGGTAAATGTCACAGAGCTATTACTGCTTGGGTGCATTACAGGGACATTACTTTCAGCTGTACTTGATGATACAGTTACAGAAAGTTCTACTACCTTACTTACAATACATACCATTTATTCAAGTTCAGCTATGTGCAACAGGCAACAAAACATCATAAGCTATTTCCTAGTTGGGGGAATAAAAAAAAAAAAAGAAAAAAAAGGAGAACACCAAACGATGAGTCATTTTAAATTACCTGACAACTCAAAATTATATTGGACATTTGACAGCTTCAAATGGTTGTACAGAAACTCATGTTAAAAAGGGAGACATGAAATTCCAAACTTTATTTACAGGAGACAGAAGAGAAGGGAAAAGCAGTTAATGACACAGCCCTCCAGAAAGCAGTTCAGCATTACTGATATAATTTATTTATTGCCCGGACCGTTTGAGCCCGTCCCGCTGCTTGTGGAAAGGTGCACCAGAGTGCTCCATCAGTTCGGCAACCACTGACATTTCCCAAACCACCGCACGCAGCAGCATGCAATCTACACCAGGGAAAGCCCAGCTTCCCCAGCCAGCAGGAGTTTCCAAACTGAGAACAAAAAAAAAAAAAAAAAAAAAGGAAAAAGAAAAAAAAAAGAAAAACAACCCCAAACTCTCACAGACTTTAAACCGGGTCAGGGCTGCAATCTGTTGATGTGCACGGAGCGTTCTGCCCGCTCCGGAGAAGCGGTTGGCACGGCTCGCCCGCGGAGTCCCCTCCGAGCCCCGCGTCGCCCCCCGACGCCCCTGGCTCCGCCCGGAGGCACCCCCGCCCCGCGCCAGGTGCGCGCTGCCCCGCGGGCCGTACTCACAGGGACACGGTGCGGTTGGGCAGCACGGCGGGCTGCAAAGTTTCCACCAAGTCGCCGCCGCTGCAGACCACTTTGATGCGGAGGGCCGGGCGGCCGGGCCCCTTGGCGCGCTCGGCGGCGCAAAGGCAGCGGTCCACGATGAGGTCGGGGCAGTTCCTGCTGCCCCCGCACAGCCCCAGCGCGGCGGCCAGCAGGCACAGGCGGGGGCACAGCCCGCGCGCATGCTGAGCCAGCGAGCGACCCGCCGGCTGCCGCCGCCGCGCATGGCACGCGCCCCTCCGCGCCGCTCCGCGGGCGCCGCGGGCCCCTCCACGCCTCCTGCGCCCACCCCGCCCCGCCTCTCTCGCTGCGGCCGCTCCGCTCCGAGGGACCCCCCTCTTCTTTCCCCTCCTCCTTTCTCCGAGGAGCCGGCCGCTCTTTTCCTGCCGCAGCCCGGGCAGCGGCGGCGCTGGGCGGACCCCGCGGCGCTCAGCGGGCCCCCCCTTCCGTCGGCGCTCACCGGGCGCGCCTCCCCCGGGGGTCCGGCAGCCGCAGCCCCGGGAGCGCCCTGCCCGCCGCTACCTGCGCTGCCCGCGGTGCTGTCAGCCCGCCGTGGGGGTCTGGGAGCTGGGGGCAAAACCGGACAGATGCGCCAAGGACGCGCTGCAGCCTAAAGCGGCGCGGCCAGCCCGGGCACAGGGCAGAAAATCGGGAGCTGGAAAAATGCTAAGGGTCGGGAATCTAGTTTTGAAAATAGCCACCTTAGCTACCGCGCTTCAGAAACCTCTGTGCAAAGTGCTGTTTGCACCTATGGTGGTGGGAAAGAAGCTTCAGGGCATGAGCAAAGGTCAGTGTAGACTAAGAAACTGGACAGGCCAGCCACTGCCACCGGTGAGGGTCCATGCAGTTAGCTGACATCAAACACCTCAGATAGTGCTGTGGTGACCTAAATCAAAGGTTTGATCAGTAGTCAAAGACTGACTTCATCATTCAGGTCAGCGAGCACATTTCTACTTTTATTTGTCTGTCATTTGTGGCACTCTTTGGCTTTGGACCATTCTCAGTAGTATTTTGTGATATGACTGGGAACTCCTAGGGTAGATTTTCAACATCAACTGCAAGCTATCCTATTTTTTTTTCTGAAAGTGGACAAAAAAAATCCAATATGTAACAGCAACTTCCATTTTCAATGGCCTTTTACTGAAAGGGCAGGTTCCTTGCCTTCTCTTACGCAATGGAGACTCACATCGCGTGTTTTCATTGCAGGATCTAGGCCAAAGTTAGTAATAGTCTGCCATAGCTATAAAGCTATTTTAGGAAATTACTTGGGTTTTATAAAACAATATTGTATTATAGTCCCCTAAGGAAGATTTGTCTTGCACATTTACAACGCCTGTTATCACTGTGTTCTAATACCTAATTGGAGCCTTTAGGCACTATGTTATTAATAAGTGATAGAAGGGATAGTGCCCTTGTGAAATTCAAGGCTAATAGGAACTTTTTCAGGAACAATCTTATTCTGTACAGTTGTTGATTTAAAGAATCATAAATATTACAACCTCTGCTCTTTTATTTTTAAAAGCAAAGCTTTGTAACACTTACTGGCAGGCAGCAAAATGAACTGTATTTCATGAGACCACTCAGCATTGCTAAGGTTGCGTGATGGTCTTTATCATTGAGATGTAGCAGAGATTTCATTCAGTGTTAACCTTGCTGAGGAGGAATGGAATTTTTCAATCAAACTCGACCCTTAAATATATGCTAGCAGAATTTTAACATTTTTTCCTAACTCACCGGTACTGCAAGTTTTCTAAAATATTGTTTTATTAAGGAAAAAGAAGGCTTACAGACACATTGAAGCCATCTATGAAATTCTACAGTAAAGGTAGAAAAGGAGTTATTCAAAACATTAGAGAAGAAAAATAAGAGTAAACTCCCCTCCACTTCCCAATATACATTTTTTTCTTGCCTTATTACAAATAAAGAAACAAAAAGCTCAGCATCTTCCTTTTTCTTCACTGTTACCTACAAATATGAAGAAAGTCAAATTTTTATGATAATTTAAAAGCACAGATGATTGTTCCTGCCCCAAGATCTCACAGTCTAAACAGGCCCAATTGAAAATAGGATCTGAGCACCTACGGAGCTCAATGCTGCTTCAGCTGTCACCAGCCCAACACAGCAGAACATTTGATCCTGGCAATAACTAGTCATTTTCCCATACTCTGGAAGGTGCAACTTCAATCCACTCATGATATAAAAACAACTAAATTTCCCATGTATCAGAAAGGCAGTATAATCCCAGGCTCCCTTGTATGATGGGAAGAAAAAATGTTGTGGCATTTTGAATTGAAAAGCAGCCAACCTTGCACTGTGTTTGGTTTCCAAAACTGCCAGTTTTAGACAAACTGCGTGCTTATAGCTTGGGTACCTTTGGACACTTTACACAACAGATTAGCATATGAGAGGTCATGAGCTCCTTAGCCGGGTTTTGGTGTGTGCAAAGACAATGACGAGTTTATTGTCTATGTTGAAGTCAAAGATACTTGGAGAATTTAAGTGTCTGTGCTGTTAAATAGAACTGAGTGAGCGTTTTTAGTTCATAGTTGACCTTGGACCCTTCAATTTCTCTTAAATCTTTCTAAATCTAGACCATGGATATTGCATATGTACATTAAAAGGGACATACTTTAGGACATCTCTCCTTACAGTTTTTTCTCTTGGTTTGGTCAGCAACCAGAATGTGATGTGTACTGATCTACTTTTTCACATAAAGCCAAACAGATCTTAAGAAACTCTTAAAAAGTCCTAGAATGCCAAGTCACTTCCTGGCCGACAGAAGCAAGGTCAGAGATTCACTTGAAACATGAAATATTTTCTAATTTTAATATTTATTTACAGTTAAATTCTTGCTTTAGTTATTAATCATGGAACTGAGGGATAAATTTTCTTAGATCAAGGAAGTAAGAAAATTACTAGATGTGACTATTTTCTTTATATTTTTATTCCCAATCATCAAAAGTCTTAAAGATTTTTTAGTAGGTCTATCCATGTATGCACACACCATGACCTCATAGCAGTACTTCAGAGGGAAATTTTTTCCTGTGGCTGAATGTGTAAGTGTTAAAAGGGAATGTAAGTTAATTTAGGAATATAATCCTAAAAGCGTATTAGCCTGAATGAATATTAACAATGTAAAAAGGAATCACAGGTTAGAGATTCAGGTGATTCATTGAATATTTAATTTAAATCGTGTTCCCAAGCACAAAACAGCAGCAGCACCTGTTTAGCATCACAGGACGTTGCACAGCAATTAAGTACAAGAATGTATTATACAATAATAGGAAATATGGGGAGGCAAAATGTAAATAAGTGAATTTGAATTTTGTCAGGATTTCAAAATTGCATGTTAGTATTGGAACAGAGCCATGGAAACTTTAATAACCACAAACTGGTTTTGGTCATGGCTTTTGTTTTATTTCTTATCTGGAAGTTGGCACTCTATCAGCCTTTTAATTCCTTGAACATTGACTCTTTATTGACAGTAGTAAAACAATGAATCATTTAGCCCATTTCCTCCAGCACCTCAGTCTCCCAACACTTTCATCCCATCGTGCCCATACCTCATGCTACTCATCAGATCAGCATAGCACCATGTTGTGTCTGTAAGCCTTTGCAATGCAATGATTAAAAACACAAGCCTAGAAATTATTTGGCCTAGAAAAAGGATAGGTGAAGTAACTGGGAGAAAAACAGTCCAGAGCAGCTTTCCATTGGGACACTTGGAATTCTGTAAAAAGATGTTATTTGAAAGGTGATAGAGGAAATCAAGCAGAATATATAAAAATATGCAGGACAACATTCGTGTAGGAAGGACCCACGAATTTTTATCTTCACACATAGTGAACTAATACATCAGTATTAGAGGTGGGATAGTCCTGGTCCATAAAGAGCTCATATATGACACTGGTGATATCAAAACACAGACAATAAAACAGCAAAAGCAAAGTTATTAATTCCTACCAATCACTAGAATAATTGGATAAAACTGAGTGCAGAAACAGACTCTCAGCAAAATGATCCTGAAGTTATTTAACAGACTGAGTAATCTTTTAAGGAAATGCGGAAACTGAGTCATTCAGGACTAGAGTAATCAGAGCAGAGAATCATGTACCACGGGAACAATGCCACGTTAGAAAGAACTGACAAAACAGGATTTCCATTTCTGCTATTCTGCATCAGCAAAATCAGAAACACCTCTGTATTGTTTTTATGTTAGAAAATGATAATGTAAGAAACCTTCAAATATCATTGTGTTGCTTTCCTTCTCCTTACGTTTTTGCATTGTATTCACATTTATGTATCGTGTCTGTAATCAAGATTTTGAAATCCTGTTCAAATCAAGGATTTGAACACTTCAGTCCTTGCAGGGCAACAGGCTTCCAAAAAGTAGCATTGAACTTTTCACTGAAATAAGGAGGTCCTTGAAGTTAGAGGCCTCTTATAAAAAAAAAAAAAAGCGGCTTTATTTGCTCTGTAGCAGAGACAACAATAAAATTCTGTTAGCATCTGAGAATATTGCTCTGAAATTACATACAAGCTATCAGTGGGGAGTGAAATAATCATCACAAAACTATCAACAGGGAAATAAATAATGTTTGAAGGAAAAAATTCTAGTGTTTGCTATTTCTCAATGCTGAGCCAGGTTTTCCTCCAATGAATACTTCAGAGTTATTGCCAAATAATACAAAGTCTCCTCCCCCCAAAAAAACTCCTACGTACATGGGAGTATAGGTCAGTGTAAATTTCTGATGACCACCAAATACAACTTCAACTGTTGCCAAGTCCCTCAGCTGCCTCAGAGAACAGATTGAAATTGCTTAGGAATACTATTAATGGAACTTATATTTTAACGTTCTAGCCTTCATCTCTTCATGCTGTTTTATTTACTTCCGCAGTAGCAGAATAACAACACTTTTGCATGGTCAGCCAAAGGAAAAGCAGCTTTTTCTTAACTTTGTGCCTTCTGAGGTCTCACAAGGGGTAAGGTTCAGACTGCAAAACTGCACTGAA